CCTTTGCCCTGGTAATATATATGTTGGATTGCTTCCAAGCGATTGGGAATATATTCGTAACTTCGTAAGGTCGTCAAAGTACTTGCAATTGCAAAACACTCGGTTGATAAAGTATCTGAATTCTGTCTGCTCCCCAAGGCTTAAGAGAGCTGATTCCTTTTATACGATTAAAAAGAATCACGTGCACTAGCTAGTTAATAGGTTTACTTATCAAGTTAAGGGTCCCTTGACTGCTGACATGCTAAGCGAAGCATGCTAAGTGGCTCGTGAACCATAGTTCACGGGTGAGCTTCCTTAACTACTACTACTACTATTACTAGCTAGCTAAGGTCGATATGGATATACCGACACCGGCAACTCTTTCTTTAGCAAGTAGTGCCTTGCCAACTATTATATCGACCGAAAAAAAAAGGAAAGTGATCAAAACAAAAGAAAAACAATTACTCTACTAAACCTCACTCTCTTTTCTTTTATAGCGGCCTTTCTACCCACCCGTCTACCTGCACTTTTAAAGTATTAGTCAAAACTAGCTCTTGCAAAGAAGTATTAACTCCGATTTTAGTCATAGCGTTAACAAAGTTAGATTTGCTTCCGATCTAGCGTACTTTAAAAAGCTCTCGCCTTTCGTATAACTCTCGAATAGCTATAATATCGATTATTAAGCGCTTCTCTTTAATAGTCCTTAACTTTACTATGCATTCGTAAAGCGAGTAAAAGTTAATACATACGACTACGAAGAAGTTAAGGATTCTTAGCTGAGCCGTAATTTAAGTAAAGGTAGTCGATATCGCAATAGCTATATCGATACTTAAAGATATAGCGTATAGCTTAAAAGCTAATACTGCTCTTATCACCTTCTTGCACTTTTGTAACACTTAATAAAGGATATTACCCGTTAAAGTGAACTCGTTCTTATTTACGTGAGCTTTATTGCTAAAGATAGCTACGAAACCGATCTAAGAGCTAAAGTCAGCGTTGTTAGCAAACGCGCCGTTTACGAACATAAAGAGCTTCGCTATCTTCAAGTCTAAAGGCACGTAGTAGATTTCTCGTATTAAGTAATCGATCAGCTACTAGATCACTTTATTAAAGGCTTTATAGTCTTCGTCCTTTAGTTCTTAGTATTGAGCAGCTATCGACAAAGCACAAAATGCTTTTAAGTAGCAAATAGTAGCCAAATACGCTTTTCGAGCGCGTTGCTTTAAGTACTTTTTAACCCGTATGGCTGAATCGAGCTTAATTATTGCAAGCCTTTTACCTTGCCTTTTTTGACCAATTAACACTCCGAACTTGTCTTTATCCAAAGATAGCTTGCATTTATTAAAAATCATCGGTTCGGCGTGTATAAAGATTTTTATTTCTTTGCTCTTTAGCTTAGATTTAACCAGCTCTTTTTCTTCCTTTGCTCTTATAGCTCGATTAACAACTATAAGAATATCGTTCGTTTATAAAGCAGCTATTTTTAGCTGACCTTTATTAATTGATATAAAGAAGCAAAAATCAAAGCTCGATTGCTTTATACCGAAGTTGTTTATAAAGTGCTCGGAAAAACGCTTATACTAGTGCGTCTTTGCTTTAAGGATGTCGTATAAAAGGCTAGTTATAAAGAACAAAGTGCCGAAAAGGAATCGATAAGTGATATTTTTAAATAATCGTACGACGATGATCCGTATAAGCTTCGTGCTTAATTAAGTGTAAGCTTACGTGATATCCTTATTATAAACCTGATACTCGTAGTCTTTTATTAGCGAAAGAGCTAAAGCATAACAAAGTCTTTGGCCCGCTCGCTGCACCGTAAGTGATTCGATAAGTACTTTCGTTTTGCTTTTGTTTTAAAAAGCTTAGACTATTATACGAGACTTTTCGTATAGCGTAAGTGTTCTTTTGCTTTTAATCTTATTAACAAACTTAGATCCGAAGATCTTAGCGCTTTTAATACGTAGATCGTTGCTCGAGATTACTTAAAAGATGCTTTAAGCTATTAATCTTGCTAATTCTTTTGCTTTAAACTTTTAAAACAATGCCTCGAAGCTCTTAATGATCCTTTCGGCTCGTAGCTTAGCTAAAAGCTTATAATCTTAGCGTTCTTTATCGGTAACAAACACTTCGAAGTCTTTAATAAATAAAACGTAAAAATCGCTTTCCTTTTCGTCGAGCACGGTCGAAATACTAAAGTCGTACTTTTAATAAAGTATCTAGATTATTAATATTATTAATCTTTAAGAATTAACAAGTTGAAGGTTAGGAAAGCTGTTTGCTGATCTTAGCGAGCTTCTTAGATTAAGCGACCTCGGTGGATTAAGCGAATATTAAGGTTTAAGCGAATTTCGCGGCTCCAGCTCTTTTTCGCCTTCGCTTTCCTTTTCCGCTTTTACCTCAAGTACTTGCAACTCTTCTAGCAGCTTTTCAACTTCAAAGTAGTAAGGTTTTACTAAAGTTGACCTGAATTCCGTAAGTCTCGAACATGCTATCGTGCACGTATGCCTTTGCTTGCTAAGCAGCTGAAAAGGGCCCTTCTACCTTTGATTTTCTTGCTACACGAGTACCCGTGAACTAATAAAAAGGTCTAAAGTATACTCCGTAATTAGTCCATTCTTTTTCTTAAGCGCGTCCTTAACTTGCTTCGCGGCGTAGCATTTTCGTACTTCTTTTATAGCTTTGTTGATAGCAGCAGCACGCTCTTAAGTAAACGCGGCAAGTCGATCTTGCTCCGTTAGCTTCGGTAAGATACTAAAAACGAAGAGCGTAACGACCAAGCTATTAAGTCCCGCCGTATCGTTAATAGCTTTAATAGCTATTTAAAGCCGATCCTCTCTTAAAGCTTTAAAAAGCTCTTTTGTGACGATCTTAAAGGCGCGTCGCATAAAAACGTAATAGCGTTCCATTAGCTCGACGCTATAATAAGCTTTTATAAGCATCTGCTTTAAAATGCTGCTAATACTTTTAAAATAGCTTCGGAACGTTGCTGAATTAAAGTTGGTTCCGAGATCGTACACGACGTTTATAAAAGGTCCGACGTAAGTATTAACTCAACATCGATTAAATCCTTTAAGTAAGTGCTATGCGAACATGCTTTTAAAAAAGGTCGCGGCTTAAAAATTAATAGAATCGCAAACGACGTACAATACGTTCTTGCCGTTAAAGTGCATTACGTCTACGTATACCGTATTATTAAAGTTAGTATCGTCTTTGAGCTTAATATTAAACTTCTTTAAAAAGCGTTCGAATATTTAATAGTAATAGCAAAACTTTTGAATGTTATAAAGCAAATCCCGTTTGAATTCGTGCCCGGCCCTTTTAAGAACAGCAGCAAATCGACTTGTTAAAAGGTGACCAAAACGCTTATAAATAGTCTTTAATTGCTCTTCCGTAAAATAGTAGTAAACGGTCTCGCCTTCGGTATTATAATAAGTAGCAGCGCGCTCTTTATTTAATAGCATCTATACGTGTCTAAACATCTTTACTATTAATATTTCCTTCTTCCTTTAAACTAATACGTTCCGCAAGTTATTTAAAATCACTTTGTGTTTATTTATATCAGCTAATAAGAATAAGAAGAATACGTCGCTCTTTATAACGTAAAACTCTACTTGATTTAAAAGAGTGTTTAAGGTAACTGTTTTAATAAAAGTAATAGAGCCGATGCCGTATTTAACGGACTTCTCTTTTGCTCGAGATATATTTAATTAAACTTCGAAGTACTTCTTTTAAAGTGCTCGTAGCTAAAGCAAGCTAACGGTAAAGAAATTAACTGCTTTGCTATTAATTATAAAACTTATAAACACGTTTTCAAAGTACTTAAATGTTATATAAGTCTTTGCTTTACTCGCGAGCACGTTTTAAGTCTCGATTTAGCTAGTAAAAGCGTAGAATGCCGTTTGAATCTCTAGCTATTTATATACTTCGTTAGCGTTAAAAATGCTGTAAGTAGTTACAAAACCTTTCGACATATTAACGTAGCTGCTCGATTCGAGTAGCTCGTTTAATAAGCTTGCGATAAATTGATCGAATTCTTTTGTAGATACAAATAGCAAGCTTTTGATCGACTCTACGTATTAAAAGAATTTGCTTTTCGTTACTCTTTTTACGTCTTTAAAGTTCTAGAACTTAGCTACAGAAGCCTTGCGCTCGTCGAAAGTGTAGTTAATGCTCTAGCAACTTAGCTTCTTGCAAACAAAACACTTTTTTTCACTTTTAATAGCTTTAGCAGCTTTCTTACTTTCGAAGTATTAGCGGTCTTGAATAAAGCATTCGTATTCTTCGTTTAAATCGAAGTCAGCTTTTAAAGTGTTGTAAGAGCAAGTGTGATCGTATAGCTCGCTAAAGCTCGCGTAAGCTCTAGCTTTAGCGAGAGGTCGGTAGGTCTTAATTGCAAACGCAATAGCTTTGCGAATGTCGGCAACTACAGCGGTAAAAGTAAACGCAAAGTTTATTCGTGTAATAATAGTCTTTAGCACGTTTTTATAAGCTGAATACAGCTTGTCGGCAAAACTCTTATCGTCTTTTAAACTTGGTCGTAGTAAGCTTTGAATGCCCTTGAGCTCTTTAGCGAGCTTCTTAAAGCACTCGCTAAGCGAGGTCTTTAGATTCTCTTTCTTGATCAAATTTAGCGAAATTTCTTCTTAACGGTCGTATTTTGCTTACCGCCGGTAATCAATCTCGAAGTAGTCTTTTACCGTAATAGCATTAGCTTTAAATATCGGAAGCTTAGCTTTAATAACGTGATTATAATAAAAGGTAATAGCTTTTTTCGTAAGCATAATAAAGAACGCCGCTAAGTAATCGTTAAAGGTTAAGCTGTATCGACTTGCTTAATTAATAAAAATCTTTAATTAAGTTCTGAAGTTATCGTTGAGTCTCGAATACTTTAGTTCTTTAAAAAAGCTTTTTGCAAACAAAGCTAATTCTTTCGCTCTTAAGTAAAGGTCTGCTGCTCTTAGCTTAAGGAATTCATTTTTATTATCGTTAAAAACGCTTAAAGTGCCGTACGCAAGTGTGCCGTGCTTAGCTAGTAGTCGGATCGGTAAAAAGTTATTGATATAATTGCCGGTAGTCCGTCTTCTTTTAAAGTTCTTAAAAAGCTTATTTTTGAATCCGAAGTCTTTTAAAAGTCCGTTTCCGAATCCTTTTAGTAGTTTAAGAAGGCCGTTCTTACCTTTTTCGTACCCGTAGCTTCGATCTCTTTGCTAATCTCTTCCGTTTCTTCTTCGTCGGTCATCGTTAAGATCGTTAAAGCTATTCGGGTCACCGGCCGAAGCTTTAGCTTAATGATATCCGTACTTTTAAGCACGCTCTTAACGATTTTCATACTTTTAGTATCTCTCTTGTTAATACGTAACTTATTAAACGATTTAAAAAGCTTATCGGTACGTCCGAAAGTGTTAGATCTTTTTTTCGAGTTGCTAAAGTTAAGCACGGAAATCTGCACGCTATCTTTAGTAAGAGCTGATTTTGCTCGGAACGCTTTCAGGTTTTAGCGAGTCTTCTTTTAGCGTGTAATTCTCGTAGCCTCGTTCGTTGTTTGATCCGATGATAATCTTAAGACCTTTGTTGTTATTGCTATTAAGCTTAAGCTTTTTAGAAAACTAAGTGTAGCTTTTAAGAAAAAGGTTTAAGAGCCGCTGAAATGATTTTGGCTTTTCTTATATGATTAGCGTATTGCGTAGCGATTAATAAATTGAAAGCGTCGAGTACGCTGAAGCGCTTCGTCGTAGCTTTTCGTTAGATTGTATAGCGTAAGTCCGTAATTCCGCTATTTGCTTTGCTATAGCTTTTATATGTCGTTCTATATCTTTCTTCTTTTTTAAAAACTCTTCTCGTAACTTTTAGACTTCTTCCCTTTTTTCTTTCTTGCTTAAAGTCTCTTTTTCCTTTCTTTTTAAGCTTTTCGAAGGTGTTAAAAGTAGTTAAGGCGTATTATCTTCGTCGTCCGTAAAGTTTTCGGCGGTCTACTTTGAATCGAGGCTTAAAAGTATTGCTTATTGCTTTTTTATTTCGTCGAAGGTCTATTAGTACTGCTGCTCGTCGTTTAAAAGCTTGACCATCTTATTAGCGTAGCCTCTTTGCTTTAAGGAGTACTACACGCCTTTAAACAGCAAATGTTTTTTAAAGCTAATAAAAATAGCAAACTTAAAGCTTCGTCTCGTATTGTCCTCCGTTATTATAAAGCTCGTTTAATCTTAGCGTAAGAAAGCGTGCCGGAATAAGCTTTATAAGTCGTAGTCTTTTAGTCCTTTGCACTTCGCATTTAAGAAGTCTTTTACTATTGCTCGGGCTGTAATCTTACTATCGGGCCTTGCGTATAATAGCTCGTTTAAGTCAAATAAGATGCTCGACATCTCGTCGTCTAGTCTTTTAAAGAAGCTTAAAAGTCTTAAGTATAATAGTCCTTTTAATTGAATAGCTAAAGGTTCCGTAAGTAATAATAAGACTCGAGAGGTATAATACCTTATTGCTCTTTGTCGGCTAGACTCTTTACTTAAAGGTCTAGTTGTTCGGTCGGCCATAGTTATTGTCTGTTTGTATATAAATCGATCCAAATTTAATTAAGTGTTATATATAGCAAGCGCGGCTCTTACAGCGTTAAAGTTGTTGTTTTAAAAGTGACTTGGTTCAGAATCACTCTTCCGTAAGAATAAGAAAAATCGGTAGTATAAGCAAGCGACTTAATACGGAATCGCTCTTCCGTTGTAAAAAGAAAGAGGTATCGTAATGAAAGGTATCTTCGCTATAAAGTATTCTTAGCTTCTTTGTGATTGATCACTTAATAGTAAATCAACCACTGATCAATGTTAGATTGCTTTTAAGCGATTGAGAATATATTCGTAATTTCGTAAGGTCGTTAAAGTACTTGCAATTGCAAAACACTCGGTTGATAAGGTATCTGAATTCTGTTTGCTCTTTAAGGCTCAAAAGAGCTGATTCCTTCTATACGATTAAAAGGAATCACGTGCACTAGCTAGTTAATAAGTTTACTTGTCAAGTTAAAGGTCCTTTGACTGCTGACATGCTAAGCGAAGCATGCTAAGTGGCCCGTGAACCATGGTTCACGGGTGAGCTTCCCCAACTACTACTACTACTACTACTAGCTAGCTAAGGTCGATATGGATATACCGACAATATATATATATATAAATTCGAAGATAACGACGATATAATTGAGCTAATGATCTCTCGCTTTTCTTTTTTTTTTCTCTTCGTCTTTTTCGCGCTATCGATTTTTATTAGCGTCTCGGCTTTTAGCTTCGCTTCGGCTCTTATATTTTTCGCCGCCGCCGTGCCTTCTTTTGCTACGCTATTTGCTACCCTTCGCTTTATAAGCTTTAGACCGATTTTACTTTTATAATAAAGCATAAGCGTAAGTATATTTTATATCTTTTATTAATGCTTATTAATTAAATTAATAAATGTTTGCGTTTTTGCCGGCCGTTAATAAAAAGACCCTTTTTATTAAAGCTTAACTTAAACAAGCTTAATCGACTGCCGGGTTTGCGCGTCTTCTTTAAGCTTAAACTATTTAAAAGAAAAATAAAGACTTATATACGCTTTTCGCTATAAGCATATAATAATCGTATAAGCAATCGGACTTATTAAAGCTTTTTTCTTTTCGCCGTATTATTATCTGCCACGTCGGCTGTATTATAAAGACCGAATTATAAGCATTAACTTTTTACTTTCTTTTATTTTTTAGCAACTTCGAGCTAATATAAATATATAAAGGTAAGCTAGTAGACTCGCTTTACGATGCGTGCACTGTTGCTCGCTAAGAGTGCTAAGCATACTTTTCGGCCGGTAAAGCATAAATATCTAATTTTAAAGATGCGTATGCTCGCTATCGATAAGGTCTTTAAAAGTGTATTGCGTTTAAAAAGAGCTTACGTAAGAAACGTAAACCTCTTTCTCTTGCTCGAGACCTTCTTCTCTTTCTTCTTCTTCTTTTTTTAAGTGCACTTTTAATAGTTAAATTAAACATTCGGATTTAAAATCCTTTTAATGCATATTCTTAAACTTAATAACTTTTATAACTTTTATAACCTTTATAATCTTTATGACCTTTATAACTTTTATAACTTTTGTAACCTTTATAACTTTTATGACCTTTGTAATTTTTATAATTTTTATAACTTTTGTAACTTCTATAACTTTTGTAACTTTTGTAACTTCTGTAACTTTTATAACTTTTATAACTTTTATAACTTTTATAACTTTTATAACTTTTGTAACTTTTGATTTTTTCGTAATATAATTAAGTATATAATTATAAGTAATAAAGGGGGTCCGGGGTCTCCTTGGTTTAAAAATAAAAATATGAATAATAAAGGAAGGTTTAAGGGGGTCTTCCCCTTATAATAAATTATAAATTCCTTGATTTTTATTGTAATGATACTTTTATATATATTTGGTCTTATATTACGATTTATTTAATAAGTTTAATACTAGGCGGAGGACCAAGTTCAAAGTAATATTATTAACAAGCTAATTATTAACTATATAAAAATCTAATTTTAATAATATATAAATTAATAATTGGCCCGTTAATGACACTACAAAGAACTTGGTCCTCTGCCTGGTACGGTATAGCTAAGTTCGTTAATTAATATTATCGCAATTGCTACGCTTATAAACGAGCTTCGGTGCTTCGCGATAAGAAACTTAGTTTGCTTTAATTTTTCTCGATCTTTTTACGCTTTTAAGAGCATATTATTATAGATTTTTATAGCTTTAATAAAAACAAGCACGGCTACGATAACGTTTTTACCAGGGCAAAGGACCAAGTTCTTTGTAATGTCACCAACGGGCTAATTACTTGATTATAAAAATCTTTATATATCTAAGTAAATCATAAAATAAATAACAATAAAAATTAAATAAATATAACGGTAATAACGTAAGAAATAATTTATTCAATGATTTATTATAAAAAAAAACCTTTTCAAAACCTCTTTTTTACCGGAAAGACCTTAGACCCTTTTATAAATTACTTATATTTAATAATTCATGTCGTGCGAGAATATACTTTAAAAGAGAATGCAAAAGCATTTAGACGGTCAGCTGATCGTCCGATAACCATTTCTTTTAAAGACGATTTTAATAAGTTGGCATAGCTGATAGATCACCTTAAGCTTATACTTAAGATTAAATAGAATCTGAAAACAAACGATTTAAATTATTTAAATCGTAGCTAAAATAAAATTATTTTATTCAATTAAATGGTTTTTTTTAAATACTCGTCTTTTCGTATAAAAACCGTTTTAAGACCGTCTTCGAGCGTTTAAGACCGTCTTATAGCCGTTCTATAGCCGTCCTTGAGCTTAAAACCGTCCTTAAGAACCTAAATTAGTAAGCAAAGAATCTTTTTAATGCTTGCTAATCTACTCTTTGCTACCTTATCTACTTATTATACTCTCGCCCTCCCCCTTTCTCCTTTTGCTACACTTTTTCTTACGAAGGCCGAACAAGTGGCCACTTTACGCGTGTTAACTTTTGCTAAATCGATCGATTTCGATTATAAAAAAATTAAAGCGTTGATATATAAGCCGTAGCAGCGATATCGAGAAATATCTTAGCGTCGAACTTTTTAAATTATTATTAAAACAATTTTATTTATAAAAATAATTTTTATTTATAATTATATCTTTTTTGAAATAGTTATCGAACTATTTCAATTTTTTAAAACGAGCTTATTAATAAATCTATTTTATAAATATTAACGAGGACGGCTATAAGACGGCCATAAAACGGTCTGTTTTAATAGGACGGTCTTTTCGATAAACTATTCTTGAAAAAAGCTTAATACTAAATTTAAGCGGTCTAATAGCCGTCTCTTATAAAAGAGGATCAAAAGACCGTTTAAATGACCTTCTACTACCCTTTATAGTAAGGTTTGCAAGTCTGCTTTTGCATATCAATTCAATATAAAAGGGAGACCCTTTTAAATTCCTTTTTTTGCTAAGGAATTATTATACCTTTTTGAGAATTACTTATATGTAATAATTTATTATAAAAAGGAGACCTTTTTAAACCTCCTTTTTTATTAAAGAAATCTTATACCTTTTTGCGAATTACTTATATTTAAGGCAACGACGTGCTTTACGTATAGCAGCTTTACGTAAGTTACGTATAGCAGCTTAGTTGCTTTACGTATTACGTAAAGCAGCGACGTGCGTTACGTATAGCAGCTTTACGTAGGTTACAACTTACGTATAGCAGCTTTACGTAAGTTACTTATAGCAGCTTTACGTAAGTTACGTGTAGCAGCGACGTGCGTTACGTATAGCTGCTAGCAGAATTAATAGCGGTAGCTAAATT